GAATCATATTTTAGAAATAAAACCGAACATATGTTAGTCCTGAAATTAACTAGTTTGTGTTGAGTGGATGGTGTGGTTGTTTTGTTTTTTGTGAGAGTATGAAGACTGGCTGGTGTAATAATATCTCGATAGATCTGTGAATAGGTCAAAGTTCAAAACATACTGGCTGTATTTGTTATGACTTACACTACAATAATATATTCAGTGTTATCAATATTTATTGTTATTCATTCTATGATCTCTGTGGATATAGCAGGGCAAATTTTACCGATAAATGCAAATACTACATGGATATATTGCACAATATAGAATATGATAGATCTTTGATTTTATGATGAAATCATCAACAAATCTTTGAATAGATCTATGAAATGTCACGCAAACAAACCACTGCTTAGTGTTTGAAATTAAAATACTTAAGCTATCAAATCTGTGAATTAGATCTGTGGAACCACTTGTAAACTGTTAGGTGTTTCAGATTAATTATTGATATTTGAATCACATAGAAGATAAAAAAAACTTTGGATATTGATATTTGAATCACATAGACCATAGAGGATAAAAACATTTGGATATATTATTCTGTAGTCTAGCAGTATAAAGACATGATTTCAATCTAGGTTATATGATTTGGATACAGCGTTGGCACTGGCGATGTGAGTTATTCTGTGTAGTGTTTTAACCCTCCAGCACTTGGTACTGGTACATGTAAACATTCACCACCCTTGTTCCTTGAAAACAAGTTTGAGAAATGTGGTATATTTCATAACGGATCCCTGAACATCCCAAACCTAGAGCGCTGCAAACCGACCGAATCATTTGAATAACTCTGTGTATATTGTAAGAACGTATACTCGTTCTTGACAGCACCACAACTATTCATGTGAATTTGTTGGTTCAAGGCACTCTTAACTCTAAAGAATGTATACTCGTTCTTGACAGCACCACAGCTGTTCACATGAATTAGTTTGGGTTAAGGCCATCTAACTCTAAAGATGTTTACTCGTTCTTGACAGCACCACAGCTATTCATGTGAATTGGTTCGTTTGAGGCGGGCTAACTCTAAAGATGTATACTCGTTCTTGGCAGCACCACAGCTATTCACGTGAATTGGTTGGTTTAAGGCGCTCTAACTCTAAAGAACATATACTCATTCTTTGCAGCACCACAGCTATTTGTTGGTTTCTAGCTGTATGGGGGATCACGTGGCTTAGTGGGTAAGACGCTAGCTCGCTAGTCTGGAGGTCAGGTGTTCGATCCCTGCATTGGCCGAGAAAGTTCATCCAGATTTTCCGGCGTGGTTCTCCCTTGTCAGTGATGCAGGATGGAGGGGCTGACAAGGAAAGCTGTCTAGTCGTTCGGATGGGACGAAAAACCGAGGTACTGTGTACACATTGGCGTGCACATAAAAGATCCCTTGGCAGTTGGAATTCGATATAAGAGTAGGCCGTAGTGCCGCTGTCCGGGCACACTGTATGGCGTATGCCCGTCTTCATTAGCCCAGGTTAGGAGCAGAACAGTAGGACGTTAAACTCCATTTCATTTCATTTCGAGCTGTATGGGGCAGTCCAGGGGTTAAAGGGTTAACACAAGATTTGAGCAGTCCAAGTGTTAAAGGGTTAATGTGTTTTGTTGTGCTATGTATATGAACAGATCAGATTTTATGTGATAGATGTAATAAAAGGAAGAGGAAGCTGGGAATATTAAGAAGAGACCACTATGACTTCTACATAATACATAAAGTTGGATTTAGCAGTTTAAAACCCTAAAAATGTTTTTTAATAAATTTGAAACTTGGTTGCGAGAACTAGGTTAGTTTTCATTCATTAGTTAAGATTTGTTTTTTTGTCATGGATAGCTAGGGTGTTTTGTCTGGAATCTAGAAAGATTGGGTGGCTGAATGCATGTGCATGTGACAGAGTCAAATGTTCTGGTGTTGTTCCTAGTTGTGTACGTGACAAGGAGTAGGGTTACATCCCTAACCTCATGGATAACTGGACGGTATTGCAAATATTGAAATGAAATGAAATGGGGATTGTCTAGCGTAGTTTGTTAGCCGAATGCATGCACTTTAGATCATAAGGTCTGTAATTGAGCAGAATGACAAACCTTCAAAGTTTAAAATCTCAACAACACAATATTTATGTCATTTCGAGACTATTATTATTATTATTTTCCTATTATGATATGGGAGGAGAATTTTGCCTTGACAGAGATGTTTCTAAGTTTCCACTTAATTTAGTCATCGAATTTCATCTTTCAAGGGCACTTTTATGTACACTTTTTCCACACAGATGGATCCTCATGTCGTCGGATACCCCAGTTTCAGTTATAAGATATGATTTAAATTGTCTGTTCATAGTATATTTTGGTTTCGATTCCCCAGTTGTACGTGACAAGGAGAAGTGTCACCTGTCCAACTTCATGGGTTTTCTTTGGGTCCTCCAGTTTCCTCCCACTGCTAAAGACCCCTACCTGCGGGCGAATTATTGAATAAAATTGAACCATGTGTTAGTCCCAAAATGACCCGGTTTGTGTCGAGTGGACGATAAACCCCCATCTCTCTCTCTCACCCTTTAAAGGCCAAGTGAATTATTCAAATAAAATTGAACCATATGATAGTCCTGAAACGACCTAGTTTGTGTTGTAGACCTTAAACCCCATCTCTCTCTCTCTCTCTCTCTCTCTCTCTCTCTTAGTATAGTTTCTATGGACTAGTAAAAGACAGAGTTGCTATGTCTAACTAAGGCTAGTAAATGATTCCATGCTCTATTCACGACCAGTACACACGAGACCCTAATATCAATTTATATTGATTGGAATATTTTAAATCATGTTTATATTACCCTCAAGGGAGAAGACTATCACATACTTGTGTCGCTAGTCCATGTTAGACCAGTCAGCATTTGAAATTTCCATTATTCAATTTCCAGACAAGATTATCCAGTGGGAAAAATCTACAAGACAGTTTGATCAGGGTTAAAAAAGCAAACATTAATTATTAATTGATACTTTAGTTTGTGTCTGACATGTCTGTGGTGGGTTTCTTATTTCCAGACTTGATCTCAATGGGGTAGATTTAGACATCTTTTCCTCTCTTTTGAATAATTGGACGATTAAATCTTTGTGAACTGAAGTTAATAAAAAACACATTCTGGTATTATCAAAGTTTGTGTCTGACATGTATGTGACAGGGTCTTATTTCCAGACTTGGATCTCAATGGGGTAGATTTAGACATCTTTTCATCTCTTTTGAATAATTGGACGATTAAATCTTTGTGAAGTTGAGTTAATAACAAACACATTCTGGTATTTTTTAAGTTCAGCCATTGCAGATTTTTTATGTTTTTATTCATTATCTAGAGAATCTGAAGTACAAATTTGTTTGTCTTTAATTAGGGTGGTTGATCGAGTGAACACAACTCACCCACATTTTCTCAAATAAAAGTTTGGAAACCAGAATAACCTTTCTTTACATTTATCAAAAGCATTGAGAGATCGTATTTGTTCCTGAAGCAAGGACTGCGAGTTTTACAACATCTGGACGTTGCTAGATTACTTTGCAATTCCCGAACTTTAGCTACATTTTCTCCCTTTACTGCAGACACATGAACAGTGGCGTCCAATCAGAAATTGTGACGGTTACGCATTCAAATCAAATAAAGCAACCTCTACAGAAACCTTGACATTGAACAAACCTTGAACTTTGCAACTCGATTATCACAGGTAGACATTTTAGCTGGAAAGAACAAGACTTGGTATTTGCAATGATCGAGGAATCTGATAGGCTCTAAAGCTGGGTGAATACCCAATTGAAATTAGTGCCGAAATATGCAGGGTAATACGTAAAGGCCTTGATAAGATATAGAGAGTAAAAGTGATATCAAGCATTCTATTGAAGATGTTGAGAGATAAACACAGGATGTTATTTAGAGTGCTTAATGTGTTAGAATTAATATTTAGCAATTAGCATGATTAAAGGCTAAATAATAATGGCAAATTATTCAAATTGGAAGTTTAAACTATCAGATACTAGATAATAGATAAAATATGACTGACTGAAACCAGAACCCTGGTAAACAATGAATAAAACGTAGAGAGTCTGCAATGACTGACTGTCTCCTTTAACAAATCTTGCAATGGCTGATCGTCTCCTTTAACAAATTCCTGAATGTCTGACCTACTTGAACAAATTTTACAATAACTGACCTTCTCCCTTTTCAATACCTGAATGTCTGACCTCCTGTTATAATCCTGCAATGGATGACATCTCTTCTTTAATAGATTCGGATATGTTTGACCTTCTCCTTTAACAAATTTTGGAATGACTGATCTTCTGTAACAAATTCTGCAGTAGTGACCTTCGTCTTTAACCAATTCTTGAATATCTGACCCTCTCCTTTAATAGTTTCTGCAATGACAAACCTTCTCCTTTAACAAATCCTGCCATGGGTGACCTACTTTGAAGAATTATGCAATGACAGCTAGACCTTCTCCTCTAACAAATCGTGCAATGGCTGACCTCTTCCCTTAACAAATCGTGCAAAAGCTGACCTCCTCCTTTAACATATCATGCAATGACTGACCTCCTCCTTTAACAAATCCTGCAATTGTTAACTTCCCCTTTAACAAATCCTACAATGAATGACCTTGTCCTTTAACAAATTCCTGGATGGCTGACCTTCATTGATAGATTGTGCAATGACCGACCTTCTCCTTTAATAAATTATGTAATGACCTTTTAATGAATCATGCAGTGATTGACATTCTCCTTTAATTAATCCAGCAAACCAATGGCTAACTTTCTTCTTTTCAAAATCCTGCAACGGCTGACCTCCTCCTTTAAACAATCAAAATATGTCGTCAGTATAGAATATCAAAATATCAAAATATGTAATCAGTATAAAATATTGTAAGGGCTTGTATTCATAAACTGAGATTTGAGATCATTATATTTCTATGGTCAAACTAACTTTAGCATTTTTAACGTTTAATTTTAGGAAAACCCCAAGATGAGGCAGCACTGGCTGAGCAAGGGCTGTGCACAACAGAAATCCCAGAAAAAATTGAGGTTGGTGCAGTCAGTGAGGCTGAAAGCGTTGAAGCAGACGATGAAGGAAACATGGAGGTTGCAGCGGAGGAAGTAGAAGTTTCACCAAATGTAGAAGAAAAAACTGCATTAGTTCCGAGTGCATCTGCTGAAGGGAAACAGGCAGAGCAGAGAACATATGAGAATAAGGCATACCAAGAAGAGAAGTCACCGAGTAAATCTCAGTCTTTTACATCCAGTAACCCCTCTGTCTCTACAGAACGTCTCTCTAATGATGTAAGTATTCTGTAAAACATATACCAATATTACCAAACTTCTTCAAGAATTCATTATATAAGTGCTAAGTCTATTTATTGCAGAGGGCATATTTCTGGTGTCAAATGTTTTTTGAACTATTATCACTGAGAATTAGTAAAGGTGAGATTTGTACGTTTACAGTATAGTTTTCTCGCTTTTTAGTAAATTTCTATGAATATCGGTAAAATTCTAATTATGGCAACAAATCTAATACGATCTGTAGGTACGGTGTGTTAATTAACAGGGGTGAGAAATTGACTGAGTGGTGATATAATTATCGCTAGGGGTGAAAATCTCGGCGACAGTGCGTTTTCTGTACCGGTGTGTTAATTAACGAACGGGTTAAAAACGACTGACACGGTGTGTATTCTAATTGTTTGGTGAGTTTTCTCGAAAGCGTGTTATAACTGCACCAAAGGTGTTTTATCAAGGACCAACAGACTTTATCTGACGCGTAGGTGTTAAATCCAATTTACCGTGCGATTTCTTGTTCAACCGCGTGTTTTACGGCAGATCGGTCTTTATTAAGTGTAGGTCTTTATACATGGATTTATACGTGCTGTAGTTACATTTGTTCGTTCTTATACGTATTTCATTTCTTGGTGAATACTACGTGTTTTATACTTCGTACCATAGTCGGGCTGCAATTATTTAAATATTTGTCTTTTTTGTGGGTTTAATTTGTTTATATATTGTCGTGCGTACCACTGAAGTATAAATGCGTGTGTCTTAAAATCAGTCGCATGCAATATCGTTATTACCGATATCCCGCTAAACCTTCATTTGATTATCCGATATATTCTAATCTCTATTGATATCAGACGCTCTAATCTGTTTTGAAAGCACGATTATAAACAAAAAATCACGCAATTAATGATAACCTGTAAGTTTCGTCACCGTTATATTTTATAAATGTATTTCTTACCTGGGTCGTAAATAGGGCTATCCAAGGAAACAGAATTCCATCACTAGAATAACAATAGAAAAATCACATACCATATAACACTAATCATGTCCAACACGTGGAGCTGATCATCGAACATCTTCTGGTATGCTCTGATTCCATCACACTTTGTGTAACAAGCTTGTCTTTGCATCCACAATTCCGACCTATGACGATCGCGACCTATGGAAATATGGGTTTTACGAGAACAGCTAAATTTAAACACATCACTTAATATTCCCATCGTTTGCGATTGGATAAAGCACAGGTACCGTGGATTCGGTCTCATCCTTATTATAGAATTTCTACTATCCGGAGAGCACGCTTTTCACACGAAATATTGCCCTTTGATCTCAGACCCCCTTTGATCTCAGACCGAAAGGCGACACTGTTAATGGATTTGCTGAAATAGTTGGATGGAGTGTGACTCTTTTTACCTGTTACACTTAATTCAAGGATGACATACTGTGGTCTATTCAGTGTTGGTCTTATTGCAATGACATAAATGTATGTTTTACTTCTCTATCATCTCATTTGAAAAAAGCTTGATATTTTATTAACATGTATACAATTTATTTTGTTTCTCATAGGAAATTTCGGTTAGTATCTCAAATGAAAAAAACCCCAGCCCAAGCGATTATATTATAATCAGAGAAATGTTCAAACACACAAGTAAAATAGACAAGACAAGCAATACCATTATTTATTATTACATTATTGATAAGCATATGCCTTCATATGTTACACGTTTTAATTAAATTGTAACGTATAAATTATCTGCTTTATTTATTTTTTCTTTAATTGGCAGTTGATATGGGCCGAAGCATTCGCTTCTATGCGTATTAGCTCTGCTCCAATAATGACATTTTGTGTAATATTAAGGCGATTCAAAAGAAACATGGTCAACAAGTGGAATTTAAGAGTGAGCTAGAAGGCAATATTCAAAATGGCCGTCAATTCTTTTCGAAGAGAATCAATTATTTTGATAGTTAAACCGTGGCTTCATACGGCATGTAAAATATACCAACATGACTAATCGGATATTATTATTTCAAATTGTACTATCACCACTGATGGGAAATGCAAGAATGAATCAAATAGCGACGATTATCGAGTGAGAATAAGGTGGTCCACCATTTGCTACATATTATATTACCATCGCTAAAATTCTCTAAAGTGATCGATGAGTATAAGTATAATAGTAAGCATATCTTACAAATAATATCAAAACTGAGTATAATTGTAAGCATATCTTACATATAATATCAAAATTTATATCCTATCTGGGATTTCGATTCAGATACCTTCACGGTACTTGAAAACAACAAGAGGGATTATGAGATTTAAATACAATGAAATACTAACTATTACATTATTATCATGTCGTACTGAAGTAAGAGGACTAAGTTATTTTTCTACAGTATATTTCAAAACAAAAAAAATGTTGTATTGGAAATACATGTATGCGAAAATTTGATGCCTTGGGTTGTTCTTCTTCTTCTTGAACTTGTTAAATTATTAAACGTATTTTCAAGTCACATATTACAACACAAACTGCCATCAGAGCAGGAAGTACGCTTCGCTGAACACCAACTTCGATCACCGTTGAACTAGATGTTATATTACAACTGTTAATTGCCAGACTTTATTAGGGGTAATAAATTAATCATTGACCCAGCTCAACAATTTTAGTGAATGTGTTTTATCTTAGTTAAGATTTCGAGAAACAGGGTCCAATTACACTTAATTTATCAGAACACAACAATAATTTTCTTGAATGAACCTTGGTTTATTAAAATTCAAAATATGACCCTGTAAATTAATATAGATGTGTTGTGTATCCTATTTCAAAACCGTAATTTGTCAAACGAACAATTAATTACATCAAAGGTGTATAAGAAATTATTGTTGTTCTGAAATAGTTTTCTTTATCAAATTTATTAATTAAGCTGTTAAAACGTCAAATTCTGGACATAATGTGTGTTATGCACGGTTCTAAAAGTTGAAGACTTTTATGACGTGGGACTCAATTTAGTATAATATATGGCCAGAAATATTGTAAATGAAGCTATTTAAGTTTAAAACTATGACTTTAGAATACATGTATAGTGAAAATGTTGAAATTGATCACTACAGCAATAAATTGTTGTTTCAGAATTAACAGATCTTTAACAAATAAATCATGCTATAATACTATTCTAAACCCGTACCCAAGAATAAATATTAAATATTTAGATTTCGAAATGTTCACAATTAAACAGAATTAACAATAAAAACAAAATCACAAATTACTACGGCATATTATGAAAATCTTTTCAAATAAAGCGACCGAAATAACAAAAGAGATTTTAAAGTCGTTTTAGACTGGAAGCTGATTCCCAAAGGTGATTGCATGCTTTTATAAATAGACACATGGAGCCCGTGCTCTCGATCTGTCATCACGTTGATAAATCACATAATAAAAATTGGATCCACTCGACCCGTAGTTTATTAGTACCGGGAGAAAAATAATAAAGCTATTTCATACAATCTTAAAAAAACAAAATAGAAATATTAACAAGTGTTTAAATTTAGCTGTTCTTGTAAAGCCTCTATTTCCATATTAAGTCAAAGGTCAATGGACAATATCACCGCCGGCGCATGTCCCTATTTGCATTAGTGTTATTTGATATGTGAATTATCATTTGTTATATATGTGGAAATTAAATTTTTCCTGGATAGTCCTTTTTACAACCCAGGTAAGAAACAATACATTTATGCATTAAAACGCCCACACGTGTAGTAAATATAGAAATGACGAAACCAATAGTTTTTCATCAATTGCTCGATTTTATATTTGTAAACTTGCTTTTCGAAACAGATTCGTTAGTCTGATATCAATGGAGGCTGGTCCGGTTATCGGTAAATAACGTGCATTTATACTTCAGTGGTACGCACGATAATATATAAACAAATTAAACCCACAAAAAAGACAAATATTTAAATAATTTCAGCCCGACTATGGTACGAAGTATAAAACACATAGTATTCACCAAGAAATGAAATACGTATAAGAACGAACAAATGTAACTACAGCATGTATAAATCCATGTATAAAGACCTACACTTAACAAAGACCGATCTGCCGTAAAAGACGCGGTTGAACAAGAAATCGCACGGTAAATTGGATTTAACACCTCCGCGTCAGATAAAGCCTGTTGGTCCTTGATATAAAACCTTTGGTGCAGTTATAACACGCTTTCGAGAAAACTCACCAAACAATTAGAATACACACCGTGTCAGTCGTTTTTAACCCGTTCGTTAATTAACATACCGGTACAGAAAACGCACCGTCGCCGAGATTTTCACCCCTAGCGATAATTATATCACCACTCAGTCAATTTCTCACCCCTGTTAATTAACACACCGTACCTACAGATTTTAGCCTCTTCGTATTAGATTTGTTGCGATAATTAGAATTTTACCGATATTCATAGAAATTTACTTAAAAGCGAGAAAACTATGCTGTAAACGTACAAATCTCACCTTTACTAATTCTCAGTGTATTTAAACATTTATTCATAAAAAATGCATAATCAACTCTCTGGGTCATCGGATGGCCTCACTTTTAAGTTGATTACACCACGGCCATTTAAGAGTTTAACATTAAGATAGATCATTGAGACTTAGTCTCAGTTGTCAAGTACCATTGCTATGATGATCAACAATGTACTTACCATTTTGTCAAAATTTCAAACGCTTATAGCTTTGCACAGAATATGGTAACTTCAACAGACCCATTTTGCATTATCTATTTTCTAACTATTAAAGCAAGAACAGTCAGCTCTTTATCTAAATCTAACATATGTATATTTGAGGGGGCATTATATTCGTGTCATGTAACATTCTCCTTGTGTTCAGAAATAAGTGTTCTAAGATACAGTCACATCATTGATTACATGTTCATATTTTGCATTTGTAATTAAAAGTTAAAGTCGGCAATAGGCTCCATTATCAAGTATAATCCCTGATAAGTGTAATTGAGAATCATAAATGG